GGAAATTCATCAGGTTAAAGGGTAATGATACCAGATGGAAACTCAGATCTTTGGGAGATAGTAACTGTGTGAGGATACAAGGATTAGTCTTTTTTCCCCTTTTCTTTTAAAATATACGTGACTTTTTCAAGCAAAAACTATAACACTGTGTTGTAGAGCTCCTTAAAGCGGCAGGAATGGAGTGTGGTAAATGGTTCTTATATTACATGTGAAGGGGTTACAACATTAACTCAAGTAAACTAGTTAAGGATATATATTGTAAGTAATGCCTACAACAGTCTCTTAAAATATAGTGCAAAGAGGTATATTAAAAACCCATAGATAAAATAAAATGAAATTCTAAAAAAAGTTTTGGTTAGCCCAAAAGTAAAGAGAAATAGAGACACAATCAGAAAACTTGGAGGGAAAAAAAAAAAAAGAAACTTGGGTCTGGAGAGGGCGGCTAATAAGATGGTAGCTCTAAATTTAGTCACATCAGTAATTAAGTGTAAATGTAAATTCTTATTGAAAGATAGAGATTTTCTGTGTGTATATGTGTATTAAGACCCAACTACATAATGAGGGAGATGCTTCAAATATAAAAGACAAGAGTTGAAAATAAATGTGTAGGAGAAACTATACTATGTAAAAAGTAAACATATGGAATTCCATGAAGGTTCAGTGGTTAGGACTTGGTGCTTTCATTCCCTGGGCCCAGGTTTGACCCCTAGTCATGGAATTCTGATCCTTAAAGCCATGTGGTATGGCCAAAAAAAGACCAGTAACTATAAGATGGGCTATGTTGATATCAGATGAAAACTGTTACCAAAGAATATTAGTAGAGATAAAAGTATTTTGTAGTGTTGAAAGGATCATTAGGAACTCTGTTTATAACCAGTAACAGATTCAAAATATATGTCGCAAACATTAATAGAATCAAAAGAAAAATTTGAATTCACAGTCATTGTTGTGTGTATTAAACATCTTCTCTCAGAAATTCTTAGAACTAAATAAACATCATATATGGTTTCATTTCATTTCATAGATAAGCATATCAAATAGTTTCATTATTTTATCTCTAAAATAAAATAAAAGTAATGTGCAATTTCTTTACTGAACACTAGAGGGCAGAGTAGTTACAATACTTGCAAAAATGGATCTGTGCGTTGTATACAGTGAAATATGCCATATTTTACTATGTGAACACACCTTTTTTTCCTTCATTGATTTTAGAGCCAACAAAATGAATGGTGGTGATTAGTGTAATACATAGGCATACCGCAGTATAGTATCATAATACTTTGTACATGTTTGATAAACATTAAATAAATTTTTGTTGGATGAATGTAATGTGGGGCTTTGGAGTTACATTTGTTTTTGAATTTTAAAACAAAAATTATTTTAAAATCTAATTATGAAAATACCACTTTTCCTCAGTAGCGGTAGTTCTCAGACTTCTTGGTTTTAAGATCACTTTGCTCCTTTAAAAATTATTGAGGACCCCAAAGAACTTTTGTTTATGATTTTCATATCTATTGATGTTTACCCTTCAGAAACTAAAATTGAAAAATTGAAAGAATTTTTAAAATTAATAAAAATATAAATTTACTGTATATTATAAATAATAATATTTTCATGAAAAATATGTTTTCTAAAACAAAACATAGTGAATAAGTGGCATTGTTTCACACGTTGGCAGATATCTTTAATGTGTGGCTTTGCAGATGACAACTATGTTCTGATATCCCCTTCTGTTTTTAATCTTACGCACTTGTGAAAGAATGAGATTTTTAGAAAGGCAGGCAGCATCTTAATATTACTGTGAAAAACTTTTGATCTTGGACCACTGAAAGAGTCTTGAGCTGTGGGGGAGCCCTTCAACCATACTTTGAAACTCCCTGACTTATAAAATAGAACAAAGAAAAAATGAAACTTTATTAGTTACAGTGTGTGGCCTGAGCCATGGAGATACAGTTCCCTCCTTATTGGTGGGCTGTTTCAGTTCAGTCGCTCAGTCGTGTCCAACTCTTTGTGACCCCATGAATCACAGCGCGCCAGGCCTCCCTGTCCGTCACCAACTCCCGGAGTTTACTCAAACTCATGCCCATCGAGTCGGTGATGCCATCCAGCCATCTCGTCCTCTGTCGTCCCCTGCTCCTCCTGCCTCCAATCCCTCCCAGCATCAAGGTCTTTTCCAGTCAGTCAACTCTTCGCACGAGGTGGACAAAGTATTGGCCAAAGTTTCAGCAGTCCATGGGATTTTTCAGGCAAGAATACTGGAGTGGGTTGCCATTTACTCCTCCAGGGGATTTTCCTAACCCGGGAATTGGACCCAAGTCTCTTGCACTGCCTGCAGTGGCAGGCAGGTCCTTTACTGCTGAGCCACTTGGGAATCCCATGGTGCAAATAGAATACAGTAAAGCATGAAGGAAAAGCATCAAGCTAGGTTCTTTGTGGCTGTTTTTTTCTGCCACAGTCAGGAGTCCAAGCTTTAGTTGGTAGGAAATGCTTTTGAGGAAAAAAAAAAATGGAAAGCGATAAGAGGGAAGAAGAAAAGAGGGAAGAGTCTCTGAACCAGAGGAGATGCACCTGTCGCATTTTGGGACAGGTTTGAAAGTCTCATAATTAGCAAATCACTAACACTGCCAAATGTGGTTGGATCTAACATTTCTTGGGCTTTAATTCCACACAGTGAGGGATTTTATAAGCATTCCTAGTTTTGTCCATTTGAAGGGGATGAGAAGTTCTTCAGGTCTGGAGTCCATCAAAAAGGACGGTAGGTTATGAGAGGATGAGGGTCGATCTGAAGCACTGGGAGGCAGTCGAGAACACATGTGGGAGAACGCAGGGCCCTCTGTGCGGATCGGGGCAGCTGTTAAACTGCCTGATCATCTCTCTGCTATCGCTGAAACACGAGTTCCATCAGAAGGTTAGATGACTGTGTGTTATAGATTTCATGTTCCTGAGAAACACTAGAACTCTGAATGTTTGGAATGCATTCTCTGTCTTTAAAAACCTGTTGGGAATAACTCTTAAGTCTAATCATTACTTCAGACATTTGCGGTCTGTGGGACTTTGGAGCATTAAACAGTAGCAAAAATTCCTTCTAAATTGGCTGGGAAAGGTTTATGGGGAAGGAGAGAGGAGGGTGCTCCACCAGTTTTTTTTCCCCCATTTTCCTGACTTATTTGGAGGACTGCTGAAAGAGAGATTTTGTGAATTTACCTCTTTTTGTTGCCTAAATTGCCTTTAAGTAATTTTATAAAGCAATTCAGACTGGCTGGTTATTTTCCAAAATTAAATTGGTGGGGAAACTGCAGATACCTTTCTTGGGTTTGAAATTTAACTACTTTCCTTCCAAGGTGATTATATAGGATGAACATCTTAACTTATCTGAGTTTATTTAAATTCGTGGAAGTCATTACATAAAGAAGGATTAGCCCTGGAAATAAGAAAACCAGTTGTTCTCCATGCACTCTTGAAGTGTCTTGAAAGGCTAGATTTGTCTACTATCTAGTTTTCAAATAAAGAATTAAAAGAAGTTCACTTCCTTGGGAAGACTATTCAGTGAGCTCTTCTCTATTTGTTGCTTCCTATTCTTCCTTCTTCTTAAAAGATAAAAATGTTACCAGAAGGTGCACTCCCTCCAGGGTCCAAGAGTGGACTCTTGTGTAACACTTGGGAATGAATTGTCCAAGGAGACACATGTACTAACAAAGCAAAAGACGTTACTGGAAAGGGGAGCCTGGGTGGGAGAGCAGCAGGGTGAGAGGACCCAGGAGAACTGCTCTGCCGTGTGGCTCACAGGCTCAGGGTTTATGATAATAAGGTTAGTTTTCCAAGTTGTCTCTGGCCAATCATCTTACTTGTGCCTGTGATCGCATCTCCCAGTCAAGATGGTTTCCAGTGCAAGGGTTTCTGGAAGGTTGGCAGGACATATTATGGGTGGGTGTCTCCTTACCCCTTATGCCCTCTCCTGAATTCTTCCAGCTGGCAGTAACTTGTCAGTTCTGGGTTCCATGTGAGATAACACTCAAGCGGTTATTATCCTGCCTGGCCATGGCTGGAATGTTTCTGTCAGTGGTTCCCTGACAAAAATATAGTTAAATATGTGAACAGATGAAATAACTATTTGGGGAAGATGAAACAATTCTTAAGATCTAAACAGTAATCTTGGTTCCGTGAACAAGTGCTTTCACAGAGTGTGCCTCCGGGGCTCAGTCCCATCTCTCGTCCTTGACTGAGATGATCGATTTATGGATGGCAGCTCCATTCTTTTCCATCAGATTCTGCTTCCAGGGCAGCAAGGATGCTGTAATAATATGAGAGAGAGGTGGGGGGAGAGGGGTGGGAGGAGAGAGAACTTCTAAAGCATTAAATTCAGTGTTTCATGATTTTTTTGCATGTTGGGAGGCAGTTCTCTTATAGGTCTTTTGCACATCTGCACATCTTGCAAGCCAAGGCATGGACTCTGTCTTGTTCTAGCTACCTTTTCAGAAATGTTTGCGTGGTGGTCATCCTTCAGTGGTACAGCTAGTGTCTCCTTCTAGAGCAAAGAAGAGATTTGTTTACTGTTCAGTATAAACAGAGATCATGTCTCCCTCCAGAACAAAGGGCAGGTGTATTTACTGCCCCTTATAAAAGGTTCAGGGCTTCCTGTGCTCAAGGTTCCTTTTCCATCATGCAACACATTGAGTGTACAGCTGCTACCTGGCCCTCTTCACATAGCTCTGTGGGAACTGGGGTTTGGGAAACTTATGTAGACGCTGAATTTTCTCGTTGCCGCTGCTGGTATAAGTACTCGGCTCTCCTTTGTCTCTAACCTGGGGTCTTGTTTCTTCTGCCAGGACCCGTGAAACCAACAGCCTGACTTGTTAGCTTGCAAGTGTGGTGAAGTCTCAGACCATTTTATATCCTTAGTACTCCTACGTGGGATGTATTTGGGAAATTTATTGAAACATCTACTTTGTACAGTTTGTAAGAAGTTCATTTAGGGTATTATTTCTCCTTATTTGATGTAGGCTTTGTTTATAATGTCAGCCCGTACATGGAGTATCATCCTGGTGGAGAAGATGAACTTATGAGAGCAGCAGGATCAGATGGTACTGACCTTTTTGATCAGGTAAGGTGCTGAAAGTAATCTTTCTATCCCAGTGGGACCACACTCAGGTTCAGTAGTGTGGCAGTGGTAGGGAGAAAGAAAACAGTGGCATAAATTTCAGATGTGTTGTCTTGAATTTTGAAGTGTGGAAAGATGCTCATAAATAGCAACTGCTCATTTAATTTGCCCTTGAATTATTTTACTAACATTTTAGAGTTTCTCTCAGATCTGTAATTCAGTGTTTCATGATTTTTTTGCATGTTGGGAGGCAGTTCTCTTATAGGTCTTTTGCACATCTGCACATCTTGCAAGCCAAGGCATGGACTCTGTCTTGTTCTAGCTACCTTTTCAGAAATGTTTGCGTGGTGGTCATCCTTCAGTGGTACAGCTAGTGTCTCCTTCTAGAGCAAAGAAGAGATTTGTTTACTGTTCAGTATAAACAGAGATCATGTCTCCCTCCAGAACAAAGGGCAGGTGTATTTACTGCCCCTTATAAAAGGTTCAGGGCTTCCTGTGCTCAAGGTTCCTTTTCCATCATGCAACACATTGAGTGTACAGCTGCTACCTGGCCCTCTTCACATAGCTCTGTGGGAACTGGGGTTTGGGAAACTTATGTAGACGCTGAATTTTCTCGTTGCCGCTGCTGGTATAAGTACTCGGCTCTCCTTTGTCTCTAACCTGGGGTCTTGTTTCTTCTGCCAGGACCCGTGAAACCAACAGCCTGACTTGTTAGCTTGCAAGTGTGGTGAAGTCTCAGACCATTTTATATCCTTAGTACTCCTACGTGGGATGTATTTGGGAAATTTATTGAAACATCTACTTTGTACAGTTTGTAAGAAGTTCATTTAGGGTATTATTTCTCCTTATTTGATGTAGGCTTTGTTTATAATGTCAGCCCGTACATGGAGTATCATCCTGGTGGAGAAGATGAACTTATGAGAGCAGCAGGATCAGATGGTACTGACCTTTTTGATCAGGTAAGGTGCTGAAAGTAATCTTTCTATCCCAGTGGGACCACACTCAGGTTCAGTAGTGTGGCAGTGGTAGGGAGAAAGAAAACAGTGGCATAAATTTCAGATGTGTTGTCTTGAATTTTGAAGTGTGGAAAGATGCTCATAAATAGCAACTGCTCATTTAATTTGCCCTTGAATTATTTTACTAACATTTTAGAGTTTCTCTCAGATCTGTACCTGAGAGTCTACACAGAAGTGTTCACTGCCTTCTCTGTTGGCAACTGTTCCCTCAGTTTTTATCAGTTTTGATCATTGATTGACTAATGGGGGCAGTAACTGTTAGAGGAAACAGGTCACTTAGCTTCTTGGCTCTTAGTCTTTTCTTGTTTGGGATTGTTACATAATCAGCCTGTTTCAGTCAGCTCAATCTGTATGTTATGTAGAAAGATCATTAATGAATAGGAAACATTTTTCCTATAGTGATAGCAGAGGTTCTGTATATATCAAAAGATATTTAAATGAGTCACTTTTCCCCCTTATATTTATTTAAAAGAGTGATTATTTCTTATACTATTTAAAAATTATGTAGTATGCGATAACTACTATCAATTGGCTGAATTGTTATTTTGAAACAACTATCTTGATAGGAATAGAAATTTGCCTTCGTCTTAACAAATGCTTTATTTTGTATTTTAGTGATGATTAATAACCACATTGTTAGTAAATAAATAAAGTTCACATAGTACTGGCCTTTACCAGTTGAGATACCTGAACCAGTCGAGTTATTTTTAGAGTTGCCTTCTGAACAGATTAAATTTAATTTCTGTTCCTCTTATCTTCTTATTCATTTGGAGATTTATTTTTTCACCAGGCTACCAGAAATACAGTTTGTTTTGTATTTTAATGTACTTACACGCATCTGCTTAAATAGCTGAATATCATTTGCTATTAATGTTTTGACTGGTTTGGAGAAAAGTCATTTTTGCTCATCGGTGATATTAGGATTTTCCTTGGAAGGCTCTTATTGGAAATTTAAGGTAAATTCCCATTGTAATTTGGTATTGGTCGTCTGCTAGCAATGCAAGTGAAATAGAAAAGTTTGGGAACATTTGCCAGAAATATTTATCTACCAGATTTTCATCTCTCCTGTGTGTCAACTGGAAAAACAAAAAAAGAACAGTGTGAGAATTGTGATTAAGTTTTATTGGTGGCGAAATGAAATCTGTAGCCTGGGGGAAAGCATTTCAGAGAGCTCTGAGAAGCTGCTCCAGTGGGGCTAGGGGAGAGGTCGTGTGATTAGTGAAGTGGGGTTAGTGCAGTCAGGCTCATATTTTGGCAGAGGCTTGCTGCTAGTCACAAAGAGCGGATGTCACTCTCAGTGATTTCAGTTCTTTTCTAAGTGTGAGAAGATGTAAGCATCTGGGCTCATAAAATCTTCTCCTGAAAATGTCCAACTCTCTGAAGGCCTTTTTTGCCAGTTTTTACCAGAATACAAGAGTGTCTCATTCTTGATCTGTGCCCTGAATTCATTTCAGGGTATGTTGAAGGTCAGTGGCTGCAGGGGCTAGTGACCTCATCTTTGTAGAGGCAGATGGTAAGACACAGTTTTTAATTGGCTCCTGTAACCTCTTGATGCTGAATGTACTCTTCCATAGATGAATTTCCAGTAACATCTAGTCCTGTTTATATTCTTAGTGTCATGTGATTGTAAGGATCTTATTCAAGCTTGTTTGGGGGGAAGTCATAAGAAGTGTGATACTGTTGAGTTCTTCAGCAGTTTCTACAATCCTTTTGTTGACAGGGGGAAAAAAAAATCACAACCTGAAAGTTGAGAATTTTGTTTTATTTGGGCATTACTGAGAACTATAGTCCAGAAGCAACCTGTCAGATAACTTTGAGAAGCTATTCCTAAAAAGGTAAGGGAGAAACCAGGATTTATAGGAATTTTTGCTGGAAAAAAAAAAAAATCAATTGAATATCAAAAGATTATTACTAATCATAAAAAGAAAACCTCTCAAGTTAATGATTTTAGTGTTTTTCTATTTGTAGGAAGATCAATTACTCCTTTGATGTCCCCTTAACTCTCTAGAGCCAGTATCCTCTTTTTCTCCGTCCTGGCCCCTGGGTGGGTGGTGATGGTTTAGTCACTAAGTCATGTCTGACTCTCTTGCTGCTCCTATGGACTGTAGCCCACCAGGCTCCTCTGTGCATGCGATCCCCCAGGCAATACTGGACTGGGCTGCCATCTCCTTCTCCAGGGGATCTTCCCAGCCCAGGTCTCCTGTATTTCACATGGATTCTTTACCAGCTGAGTGACCAGAGGAGCCTGAATTCCCCTCAGGGCGCCCCATAGCAGGCAGCTGTCGTGGTTGATGGCTTTATGGCTGCAAGATCCTTGTTTATTTAAATGGCAGGCTGCATTCTCTGTCCACACGAGTTACCAGATTGCTGCATTCCCCTTGGCTTTAATAAGACCACTGATGTTTGTTTGTGACTTTTCCTTACCACAAAAGGAAACTTTACATTCTACAAACGATAGTGAAACTCCTTGTATCTTTAATATCTAGTATTTGAGTTGTACAGAGAGTGTTAAGTGATCTCTTTGCTGTCAGACTTCTGTCTAGTTTTTTTCTCACTTCTGATTACTTGTTTAGTATCTCCAGTTGTCGGACGGACAGTGTGCTAACCTGCTGACACTGGAGCTCAGTGCACCCTCAGATAACATCAGCTCATAGTCTTCTTCCCTTTTTTCCCTCCTCTGTTTCTTGTTTCTTGAAATGAGAACTTGAAACCACTTGGGTAATCTTTGCCTTCTCTCATTGTGTTACTGAATCGGTCGCCTGGACTTGTGCCCAAGTCTCAGCCTAGGCCGAGACCCCTTGTCTCAACCAGGGGGTTTATTTTTTTTGCTTGGATTCGTACAACCAATGACAAAACCAGTGTTGAGACTGGAACAGCACAAGCTTTATTCAGTGGTCAAAGGTTGGAGAAGCAAGAACTAGTTCGCAGATCAATTTCTCAACCCTGCTCAGACTGAGACACACATATATATAGAAGATTGAGGTAAAATGGAGGGAATTCGGTAAAGAGCGGGAGAATATTAATGACTTTTCTGAAACAGGGGTGTGGTTTGGACCCAGAACTGAGGCAACACTCCTTTTCTGTCCTTTTTGGGGTTCTTCTGGTTGTTGTCATGACAACTGTCACCTGTTGTAGCGCTGGGGGACGTGTCCCTTAGCATGCTAATGTGTTACGATGGACGCATAAAGAGGGCTCAGTCCACTGGAATTCAGCAGGTCTTCTGCCATCTGGGCCTAGTTGGTTCTAACCGATGCTTTAGAAGGTCCTTTAGGAGCAACTTCGTCCTTTCCTAATTGGGCCAGAAACTCAGATAAGGGTAGTTAGTTTCCACATGAGGGAGGGCAGGGTTATGATTCTGGGGCAACACTCTTGGTAACAAACATCCCCCAATATCCAATTGCTGGTGGAATTCTGTGGTTCTGCCTTTAAATATTGCACCTTTTCTCTCTCCCCACTGCCTCTAGTCAGGTCATCACCACCCTCTCTCACCTAGTATTTTAATACTGCCCTGATACCTTTACCTTTCAGCGCCGTTTACAGAACATGACACCTGAAATAGTATTCTGAGAGGCAGTCGTCTTAGAACCGTGCTCTGCAGCTCTCAAAGGCTCACCATGGGCAGTTGTCGACTGAAAAACAGTCACTGCCTGAAAACTGAGAGTTCTTAGGCCCAGAGGCAACATCTCAAGTAGCTCTCAGAAACTGCTCCAAGGAGGCGGGGAAGGAATCAGATATTATAAAAGTGTGCAGCAAAGGGGGCAGATAGTCTGAACATGAAAGATTATTAATTAAGGAAAGCCAGGTATCTCAAACTAAGGAATGTAGTGCTCTTCAATACACGGGACAGTGACAGACTTTATTTTCTTCAACTCTAAAATCACTGCAGATGGTGACTGTAGACACAAAATTAAAAGACACTTGTTCCTTGGAAGACAAGCGATGATGAACCTAGATAGCATATTAAAAAGCAGAGACATTACTTTGCCAACAAAGGTCCGTCTGGTCAAGGCTATGGTTTTTCCAGTGGTCATGTATGGTTGTGAGAGTTGGACCATAAAGAAGGCTGAATGCCTCAGAGTTGATGCTTTTGAACTGTGGTGTTGGAGAAGACTCTTGAGAGTGCCTTGGACTGCAAGGAGATCAAACCAATCAATCCTTAATATTCATTGGAAGGACTGATGCTGAGGCTGAAGCTTCAATACTTTGGCCACCTGATGCAAAGAACTGACTCATTAGAAAGGACCCTGATACTGGGAAAGATTGAAGGTAGGAGGAGATGGGAATGACAGAGGATGAGATGATTGGGTGGCACCACCAACTCAATGGACTTGAGTTTGAGCAAGCTACGGAAGATAGTGAAAAACAGAGACCTGGTGTGCTGCGGTCCATGGGGTCGCAAAGAGTAGGACACGACTGAGCAAAATGGAAGATACTAGCCTCACGGCTTACTGAAATCCTGTCTTTCACTTGTTTCTTAGCTATCTAGGGCCAACATCCTGCGCCCATCTGTTTTTACACCCCCTACCCCTCATCTGTAGAGAGTGGCTGTAGCCTGATAAACAAGTATTCTCCTTTCTGAATCCCTTAGGGCCCACTGACTTACTTTGGAGGGATTCAATGGCTGATGCCTGTGACAACCTTTAATTCCTTGGCTCACAGCTGCTTCGTAGCAGGCATTTTTCTTCCTCTTGGGGGCTCTCTAGGCTCAGAAATTCACATTTGGAGGCCTGAAATCTCTGATGGCTATTTCATCCTTCTTTATTGATGTGGCAGGAGATATTCCATTTCACACAGTATAATACATTTAAGGTCATTAGTCTGGCTTTTGAGGGCCTAAAAATAATCTATCAAGGTAAATATTCTCCACATGCAACTTGCTTTGAGCAAACTGAATTGCTTTGAGCGAATCACTAGTTTTAACAAACCCTGTACCTTTGCCTCTTTGAATATCTTTCTCCTTCATCTATCTGTTAAAATTCTACGTAGCCCCAGAGATGGATGGTACTTTATACATAACTGGATACTCCATAAATATTTGGTAAATAAAAATTTCATATTAGTGACTGCCCATTTATAATTACATATATTTTTTTACATATTTTCTATTTTAGTGTAAATTTATATACTCAGGAAACATACATAAAGATTCTGGTGTCAGTATTATTTGACCTGAATATTTTAATGATTATAGCATTTATTGAATAATATATTATGACTTTCCATTATTATGTTTTACAGTTGGTCTTTTGAATTGTTCCCAATATTTTTCTAATATAAATAGTGCAATGATGAGTATCCTGGTGCCTGGATCTTTCTGTATATGTAAATATTTTCGGTAAATTCCTGAATTACTGGATAGAAGAGTTGCATATGTTAAGGCTAGTGTATATTGAGAAGCTGTCCTCCAGAAAGGTTGTTTAAAGTTAATTCCCATTTGTAAGTCTGGCAACAAATACTGTCAGTTGTTTTCCTTGAGGGGACAATCTCACTTTGTTCATTTTGAAGAAAATGTCTATCAGATACCCAAGTCCAAGTAACTAGTTTATAGGTCATTCATTTTTTTTTTTTTTACTTATGAACAGCTTTTCAAGAAAAAACACAGTTTGATGTGCAAATCAAACAATTGCCTAGGTTTTTGCTCAGGGCAACCATCTTACATAGTAGCATAAATGTTTTTGAGAACTTCCCATTTGTTACACAGCGTATTAAAAAAGTCCTGAAACCAAGGGTTCAGGTTTAAGAAAGTTGTTTTTTCTACTTCAGGAAGGATGGTCTCAAATGAAACCATTTCTCCCACCCCCGTGAGTCTGAGGTAAAGAATATCATGATTGAGACCACTGCCTTGATATGTGCTAAGATGCAGTTTTACCCACATTGCTTTTTCAAAAACCGTTGCAAATGTCAACACAGTGAAAAAGGTAAATAACATCTTAGTGTTACTGAATTGGCCAAAAAGTTCATTCAGGTTTTCCCATAAGACATTATGGAAAAACCCAAATGAACATTTTAATCAACCCAATATTGATGCTAGTCAAGACCTCATGGGTGTCTGGGCATCGGGATTCTCCAGAGGTCTACAGACAACACCTAGAGAACATTTTTCTAAACCATCCCTGCATATGCTCTCATTCTGTCCCTCCCTTGTTGGCTAATCGAACCTGCTTTTTAGTTTTTCAGAGCAGTGTAAGAATGTCTAGTTTTGATCAGAAAAAAATGGTAGCATCTCATGGAGTTGGAGTCATGTTGCTTTCATGTTACTTTTCTCCCACTCCAGGTTCATCGCTGGGTCAACTATGAATCCATGCTGAAAGAATGCCTGGTGGGCAGGATGGCCATGAAACCTGCTCTTCCTAAAGGTACGTGGATCCAGGGCTAAACTGACATTGGTGTTTGACACAGGTGGACTGTCTTTTAGAGGGATTTCAGCAAATATATTTAAATAAATCATTAAATTGTTCTCATTTCACTTGCCTCCTAGTCCGGCCGCTATAAAGGTTTTTCTTTAGTTCTTTAGAATGAAACAGTGACTTTACCTGAAAAATTTGACTGTTTTGAGAGAACTTTCATAGTGTGGGGAATAAACAAAATGGAAGTGAGAGGACTTTGTTTACTCGGGTTTTGTTAGCTTTTGTTACAAGGCTCTATGTAACCAGTCTCATTACATACAGTAGCTTGAACACTTGATTAGAGTTGACTTTTAGACTAGTTTCCTAAAGTGTAATTGTTTGAATATGTGATTGTATTCCCGTGACTCAAAAATCAGAAAATATAAAAAGTTATATAGTGAAATTTTCCTTCCCATCTTTATCTCCCATTCCTTGACTATTTATCATAGACAACCATATTCTGATTTTAAAGTATGTTTTTAAAAAAACCATTTCTTGCCCTTACCTTAACAGCTGCCACTCTGCAATCAGCACAGTGTTGGAGAGCATCTCTTTACTCCTAAGCTTCTTTTAGAATAATGCCCTTTGCAAAGTTTCAACATGAAGTAGAAGTGTCAGAAGTCCTTTACTATGAATGGAATGGAGTCATTTCTTTTGAACAGCTCTTGATTTTAACATCCAAAGTAGGAGTAAATTGGCTTGTTTGACCTGACTCTGCTACTATTTATGTAGTTAAGTGAGTTTTGTATTTCCAGGCTTTATTGATGGAGGCCTCCATTCGCTGTGTAAAAATAGCATCAGCTTACCTAGATTTGAACCCTTGTTCCATGGTCTGTTGACGGTGACATAACGATGGCCCTTTCTATAGCTGAACCTCAAGTTTTTTTTTTTTTTTTAATCTGTGCAAAGATTGATAGGGCAATAATTTATATGAGTAAAATTAACATGATAGCAGTGTAGCAGATACTCAAAAAGGCTTTTTTTCTTTCTACTAATACTACTACAAAACAAGTAAGCGATACACGTATATAGGCAAACTTCAGAAGTATTGCAAGTTCAGTTTCACACCTCCACAATAAAGCCGATACCACAGTAAAGGAAGTCACATGAATTTTTTTGTTTCCCAGTGCATATAAAAGTTATATTTACCCTTTACTATATTAAATGTGCAATAGCAGTATGTCTGCAAAAACAATGTACATAGCTTAATTGAAAAACACTTTTGTATTGCTCATCCTGTTTGTGATGCCAGTTGTCTTGCTGTTCATACTGTTTGCTGAACTCAGGGTAGGCAAGGCAGAAACTCCGAGGCTGGAAGGAGATTCGAGGAGCGATAAGAGGTGCAGACACGTTTATTCTCTCCTGGCTGGGACAGCAGCCGTAACACGGCCTCTCTCCTGGCTAATGCAGCAGCCACAGCATAGCCGTAACGTAGCCATAACAGAACCGGTATATAACCTTGTACAGCACGGTCATGATGTCATTCCAGTGTAGCCTCAGTGCTGCCTCAGCCAGGGCTTTCAGGGTGAAACTCATACAGGCGTACCACTCACGGTGGCCCGTGACCAAGGGAGCCTGTCGTGATGCTCATGTGCAGTGCTGAAAGTGATCTCAGCTATTACATGGTCATTATTTACAAAACGCAGGGCAAGAGTGAGAGGCCGTGGGGTGAGAGGGCCTCACCATGCCATCTTGGCTAATTTGCTCTTTCCCTACAACTTTGTTACTGGAAAAAAAAAAGCTAACCATCATCTGAACCTTCAGCAAGTCGTAATCTTTTTGCTGGTGGAGTGTCTTGCCTCGATGTTGATAGCTGCTGACTTATCAGGTGGTGGTTGGTTCCTGGAGTTGGGGGCAGCTGTGGAGTTTCTTAAGACCACAGTGGAATTTGCCACATTGATTGGTTCTTCCTTTCATGAATGTTTTTACTGTATTATATAGACCTGTTTGATAGCATTTTACCCACAGTAGAACTTCTTTCAAAATCAGTCAGTCCTCCCAAACACTGCTGCTGCTACTTTATCAACTGAGATTATATAATATTCTAAATCCTTTGTTGTCATTTCAGTAACCTTCATCTACATTAGGAGTAGGTTCCATCTCAGGAAACCACTTTTTGTGCTCATCCATAAGAATCAACTCCTCACCTGTCAAGTTTCGTGATGAAATTGTAGCAGCTCAGTCACAGTTTCAGGCTTCACTTCTAATTCCAGTTCTCCGGTTGTGTCCACCACGTCTGCAGTTACTTACTCCACCGTAGTCTTGAACCCCTCAGAGTATCTGTGAGGGTTAGAGTCAACTTCTTCCAAAACTCCTCTTCAAGTTTGTATTTTGACCTCTTCCCATGAATCGTGAATGTTCTTGGCGGCATCTAGAATAGTTACTCCTTTCCAGAAGGTTTTCAGTTGCTTTGCCAAGATCCATCAAGAGACTCACTATCTATGGCACCTGTATAGCCTTATAAAATATATTTCTTAAATAATAAGACTTGAAAGTCAAAATGACTCTTTGATCCACAGCCCACAGAGTGGATGTTGTGCTGCTGTTGTTTAGTCACTCACTCATGTCTGACTCTGTGGCCCCAGGGACTGTAGCTCTGCCCATGGAATTCTCCAGGCAACAACCCTGGAGGGGGTTGCCATTTCTTCCCCAGGGGATCTTTTTGTCCCAGGGATCAAACCTGCGTCTTTTGCTTGGCAGGCACTTTCTTTACCGCTGAGCCGCAAGAGAAGCCTAGATGTTGTGTTAGCAGGCCTGAAAACAGCATTAATCTTGTACATCTCCATACTGTTTGATATAGAAAACTTAACTTTCAGCCTGTCTTGTCTTTCGTCATGCCTTCCTCACTAAGCCTAATCATTTCTAGCTTTTGAGTTAAAGTGAGTGTCGTGGAACTCATCCTTTCACTTGAACACTTCAAGGCCATTGTAGGGTTATGTTCATGGGCCTAATATCAAATTGTTGTGTCTCAGGGAATAGAGACGCCCAAGGAGAGGAAGAGAGAGGGAAATGGCCAGTCCATGGAACAGTCAAATCATACACATTTATAGATTAAATTTGCAATCTTACACGGGTGTGCAGTTCATGATGCCCCCAAATACTTACAGTGGTAACATCAGATCACTGATCACAGATCACCATAACAAATATAATAATGATGAAAAAAATTCTGAAATATTGCCAGAATTACCAAAATGTGACCCAGAAACCTGAAGTGAGCCAATGCTGTTGGAAAAATGGCCCCAGTAGACCTGTTCTATGCAGGGTTGCCACAAGCCTTCAATTTTTTAGGAATGCTGTATCTACAAAGTGGATAAAGCAATGCACAGTAAACGAGGTACACCAAAAGCAAATTAGTTTGAACTTTAGTGTCTGACAGTTCTTCCAAACCAGCTTACTTTTGTGAACAAATCCCTTTCTTTTCTTAATTGCTCCAGAGCTCACCAGATCACTGCCGGCAGAGAACATGTTCTTAACTAAAATTTCTAAGTGACTAACTTTACGTCACCCTAAATTTTACATGTCTTGTTTACACAGTCTAGTACTTAAGGTCACATGCTTCTCCGTAATGCCATTCAGGGTGGTCAGAAAGTGTCCCAACTCCTTAGGCTTCTGTGTCATAGCTTGAAACAAATGAAAGGACTCTTAGGATTTCCTTCCTTCCTGCCTGGAAATGAAAGATAGAGAACCTTCAAAATGTTTCACCAAATACAGCAGACACTGTTTAAAATGAGCAGATTCCACAGGGAAGTTGGCAGGTTAAGGGGAAAAAAAGTAGTTAGAAGGAGCAATCCAAAGTGATAAGCTAGCTCTCATATCTTCACTTTCAGAAAACACTTATCATATACTTGGAACTTAGAGCCCACAGGAATTTTAATGGTCACATAGGAAAAGAAAGATCAGATCTTGGATCTGTAAAGGAAGGAATTAAAACTGAGATCCCTGCCTGTGGCTTGGCTCCTGAAGTCTCTATAATCAGTGAAATGAGAAGGCTTAACAGAAAAATCTGTCCAACAACAAAGGGAGATGTCAGGATAGTCTGCCTTGACCTTGTTTATGAGGTGATGGGGGAGAGGAAAGAGAAGTTTCCTTTGAGAATTTGTAGCCACAGTCTTGCCCATATGTGAGTTGGGAATTCAAATATATACCACCTATGTATATATCTTAGAAACCTCAGACCAGGAAGTAAAATGGTCTCCCATTACTGGTTTCCCAGGCTGCTTGGCAGATTTATATAAACCTTTTTAGTGGTGGAAAAATTTTCAATCTAAAACCCTCAAAATTCCCACAGGTATAGAGCAGCAGTTATTAGCATACAGTGAAAAATTAAACAACGTTTGAGGAAACAAGGCGGCAGAAATAAAGGCAGAATTTCACCCCTTAGACTTTATTATTTGTATATAGAATAAATAATTTTGTTTGATGTGATTAGGAAAATAAGAATAAATAACATAGTAAAGAAGGAGACTAGTAATTGTGTAGAATTGAAAACAATAGAACCTCTGGAAATGAAAAATCAAGCTGGTGAAATAAAAAAGTACATAACATGAATAGTGAGAGATTAGACATAGAAGAGTCCAGTGAACTATAAGATTGAGCAGCAGAAATTGGGCAGGATGTGGTACAGAGAAACAAAGTATAGAAAAACATTCAAGAGCCACAGGGAATACAGTAATGAGATCTAACACATATAATCAGATTTCCAGAAGGAAGTAGTAGTGAGAATGAGGAAGAGGCATCTGAATAGCTGAGAACTTTCCAGAATTGGTAAATCACAAATCTCAGAGATAGCAAATTCACCAAATCCTGATCAAGATAAATAAAAAGAAATATGCACATAGTCTCTTTGTAGTCAAATTGAAGAACACCAAGACAATGAGAAGATATGAAAAACATCCAGAGAGTCACTGAGAAACCGGTAAATTGACAGCTAATTTACTCGTGTAATTTACTAGCTGTTATAACTAATT